ATGGGTTAATCAAACTTAACACCTTTATACTCTCACCGTAATCTCACAAAATACATATAAATGGATAAAATTTTATAAAATTTGTATGTGGAAGTCACATTCGAAAAATCTTATCCATCCGTATAAACATTTTGTATTTGATTCTGTGATCGATTTGTGTATTTCTATGAATGAGTAGTATAACTATTCTATGCCATGCCAACCAATAAATTGGATACTTTTTTTTTTGTCAAACAGAAAAATAAGAAAGCCAATTCCTACTTTATGGTGGGAGGGGAATTTCAAAAGGAAATCAGTTCTTGGCATAAAGAATTAATCATTCATGTAAACCATCTTCTTCGTATTCTTTTCCCACTCATCATGGGTAATTATTCTCATAATGATTTAGGGGAAAGCTAACCTAGTACTTAAACTAGTTGTTAGGCTAGCTAGTTGTTATCTCTTTGCAGTACTTGAACTTGTTTATTTTATAGTTTAAATGCATTAGTTTTGAACCTAGCAAATGGCATCAGAATCAGAGGAATCCTAATCCCCAGGAATTAAATTCGATTCTGGGCAGCCAAACACGCAGGATTAATCAAGATATATATGCTAGGGAAAACTTTGTTAAGCTAGCTTGACTGCACTACCCATTCATGGTCTAAGAATCAACTCAATGCCCCAGCAATTGATATTATTTTGAGAAATTTTTGAAATATTGTGGACTACAATGAAATTTTTTTTAGTCAATTCCATACTGAGGCAGATGCCATTCGTTAACACTTCCTGACCACCCAAACATCTCCACATTTCACATACAACTCACACATACTTTTCATTTTATTTATTTACTGAATTTTTAGTAATTCTGTTATGAATACAAAAATCAATTATAAAATCGAAAACATAATTAAAGAAGATTTTGAAGAATTTGTTAGTGAAGTCTATTTTTTGAAAATATTTATATATTTTGTTGAAGCAGCCAACCCCTCATTAGCATAATATTGTTTGCTTTGGGTGTATTCTCACGACTTTGTTCTTCCCTTAGGAAAAGGACTGGCTTCCTAAGAAGGAAGTTTCTAGAGATGGCGCCAAATAAAGTAGCCAACCCCCATTAGCACAATATTATCTGCTTTGAGCGTACCCTCACGGCTTTATTTTTCCTTTAAGAAAAGGCTTTGTACTAATTTGAAGGAGTTAGTCAACTTATGTAGTGGAGTGTGGTTTTCTCACGGAGCGATGTGGGACCTATGTGGGAGTCCAATGGATGTCCATCCCACATCGCTCCGTGAAAAAACTACACTCCACTACATAAGTTGACTAACTTCTTTAAATTAGCACAAGGCTTTTTCCTAAGAGAATAACAAAGCCGTGAGGGTACACCCAAAGCAGACAATATCGTACTAATGAGAGTTGGCTAATTCATCTGTGTTTGTAATTTATTTATTTTTTTGTAATTTATTTTTGTGTTTCTAAACTTGCCTGTTACAAAGGGATGTGGTGCTTATACCCTTTATATATAAAAATAATTTTATTATTCAGACATATAATAATAAATTGTATGCTCTCTACCTCCTTTTAATTATTGGATTAGGATGTTGGTATCCTAGGTCATGTTTGTTTGGGCAAATTAGATTAGGTTGGATTAGCATTCACATGACTAATAGTCCAATGACTACGAATCCTTTGGATTGTGTATCATATCTTATGTTTGGATTGAATTTGGATTATAAGGAGGATTAATAGTCCAAACTTTAGCTTAGTCTTTCAATTTATATCTCACCCCTCTTTGTGGGATTGAATAGTCCATCATATGTGAGATACCATATCCGGATAGATTGTTAGTCCGTACTTTAATTATTTAACCAAACATTAGATTAATAATTTTATTAAACTATTAATTCAATCTCAAACTCATATCTACCCAAACAAACATGCGTTACAGTATTGCATTCAAACTTTTTGGGGAGGGGTGATAGTCCAACAATAAAATTCAAACATATCTTTATATTTAAACACTTTAAGAAAAGGGTTTGTTATTTAAGAAAAACCAAGTTAAAAAAAATAATAAAACCTTGTGGGGGTTTGATAATTGAAAGTCTCGTCATGGGGATAACTATACACATGCATATCCCATATTGGTGACATGACATTTATTTATGGCAGATGGAGATGGTACATGTTATTAGACTAGTATTAAATGCCCCATTTCTTTGCAACTATTCCAAGCTGCTCTACTTGCTTGTTTTATTGGGATATATGGTGGACTCGTTTTTGTTAAACTTTGTCCTCTTTTACTAGATAATCCATGCATGCTTGCCCTCATGTATATTTCATTTTTATTTGTTTAATATTGTATATTTTATTTAATTTTTTTAACAGGAATGTTATATGCAGAAAAACTAATGAACTCGAGTCATACATTATTTTTATTTATTATTATTATTATTATTATTTTATTTTTTTTGTGGCACATGTCAACCCACAAATTAAGCACTTCAGCCCTATTGAGCTTAGAACAATTTTCAAATAAACCCAATTCATTGAAGTGTGTGATGTATTATTTTCTGATGGTAGGGGAAAATATATTTCTTTAATTGATTAGGTACTAAATTGTGCCCTTGTCATTAGTTCCTATATATATATTTAATCAAATTAAGATTGAGAGGGTACAAGGGTATGGACACACACGAATCCACAAATGTCCAAAGTAGAATCCATGAAAAGTGAGATCTTCTTTCCTTTATTTTTTTTTTCCTTTAATTTAATTTTTTTTTTTGGGGGTGCCATCAATAATATCAATAAACACATCAAAAGGGTTCATTTTCAGCTTTAAATCACTACAGTCCCACCTGCCAAACTGGTTTTCATGTGATGTACCTTTCACCAGCCAAACACGTCAGTAATAGAAAAAGTAGAATAGACCCTGCATATGGCCCCCACACACAAACACTGTAGTATTTTAGAAAGTAGATAAAAAATTAATTTTTTGATTTTTTTAATTTTTTAAATAATTTTTTTGACTAAAAAATTTGAAATTTTGGAATTTTTTTGTAATTTTTTATGTAAAAAAACTAAAAAATCAAAAAACTTATTTTTTTAGCAAGTTATCAAAACGCCCACTGTCAGCGTCCATTCATAATTGTACAATGATAGCATGTAAAAAGAGTTTTTCACATTTTATAGAGAAAAATGTGTGTATATACATACATTTCTTAAGCTTCCGTTTGAGAAGTGTGCTGACTTTTTAATTTTTTTAAATATTTTAACCTGAACTAAAACACTTGATTTGAAAAGGATTTTTTAAATTTTTTTGTGAAAAAAAAATGTAATGATTGTAAATTGAATGTAATGTTTTATTTGTTGTGATTAAAATAATCTATTTTATTTTTTATGACTGAAATTGCCAAAAAAACCTCGAAACTTTCTTCCCAAACCTTAAACAATGGAATTTAAGACTTTCTTTCTTCTTCATTTTGTTTTTTGTTTTTGTAATCATGTCTCTCTTCTTCTATCTTCTTGTGTTTTCCATTTTCATGCAATCATGTGTGCGCACAGTCAGAATCATTTTTCACCAATTACAATATTATTGTCCAATTTTTTTTTAATTGAAAAATTACACTAATTTTTCTTGAAATTTGAATAAAATATATTAGAACCATAGATTTGACATAATTTTATTAGACATTCTTAATATTTTTAATTTACCTAACATTTAGTTCACAATTCATTAGTAATTCATTAATCATTTGCCAAATTTAACTAAAAATTTGGTTGGAAGTTGAAATTCTAAAAAATATCATGAAAAATCAACTTTTAGATTGATTTGATGTCAAATATATGATTCATGATTTTTCTCATCTAGATTGAAAAATCAAGGGTGATCAGAAGATGATGATGACAACAAAAAAATTGAAAGTTCACCAAATAATGCATATTATATAAGATTCAAGAACAAGAAGAAACCATGAATGGACCACCCTTTAAGCATCTGAATTAGGGGTTTCATTTCAACTCATAATTAGCTTGATGATTAGTACAGAAAGTGAAGGAGAGAGGTTCAAAGTGGGAGACAAAGCTTTATAGAAAGGCATTGGACACAATGAATTGATTAGTGAATAATATAAGAAGTTTCTCACCAAAAAGGTGATTTAATTGTCATTGAAAGATGGTAGGGCACAAGTATTATCTTCTCAAATGCACACTTTACTTCTTTTGTAATCTTCTCAACAATATATATAAATATATGTAAATGCCAGTCATTTTCCACATGCATGTGTGTTCCCCACCATTATTTGCTTCAAGCAGACTTACTAGACGATATATATCTCACATGCAAAACAAATATATCCTAAACAAAATATATATTTACAACAAATGTAAAGGTCATAATAATATAAGATTATGAGGGAGGCAGATAGAGAGTGGTAAAATTAGTCATAATTTTTTTTTTTTTTTTGGGAATCAATCGCACGTAAGTCAATGAGAGATAAATAATCAACCTTTCAAACCTTAATCAAATGAAGAACAAGCATGTGAACTTGGTGGATGATCTAGCACCAAATCAGCCTCTCACAAACTTGCTTTATTCCTCTTTTCATAAAAAAATACTCTCTTGAAAGTAAAAATACCTTTGCCAAGTCCTTTAAGCAAGTTTCCATGGCATGCAAATTTAGCAGTTTTATAAATGGATCAATAAATTTTGGTTATCAATATCATAATAGTCTTTTTATCTTCCACAACATTTCATTTGGTCACAAGTGGGTATAACTTTTGAGTCAAAAAGAGATTAAATTGAAATAAACAATATTTGAATAAAGAAAGGCATTGCTCTTTCACACTTCTCTCTTCTCCAATTCTTAATGACGTCCTTTCTTTTTCTTACATAATTACAATAATTCATAATCAACCTGCCTCTGAACCTAACTATGATTCAATCAATTTACTATGTAAACGGATCAAAAAATAGTCACCTTTATATGGTTAACCAAACTATCTTGTTCAAATTAAAAAAATAATAATTCAATAAAAATCAACAAAACTTTTGTAAGTCAAAACTATTCCAGAAACAAAACTTCACAGTTCAAACCAAAGCTTTTGTAAAAAATGTGTTCATGAAAATGACATGGTATATATTTGGATCCATGGGGGGGAACTGTCTAGCTACCACAGCAAACAAAACAGCATCCACTAAACTACAATAATGCAAGGAATTCAAAAAGGACCAAAAACTTATCAGGAAAATAACCAATGGAAGAGAAGATACCTGAAAAAAATGAAGAATTTTAATCAGACTGTGTTACACGTCTGTCGTCGATCTATATTCTCGAATAACCGAGAAAAGATGGAATGTGAAAAGTGCAAAGAAAACAAAAGAGAACTTCATGTATAATATCACTTCCATCGCAGGGACTGCCTTATACCAGTGTAGATAAGTCCTAGAGACCGCCCAATCAAGGACACTAGAAAGAATGAGATGGCATCACTGACTTTAGCAGAAACGGTTCTAATCAATGGCATTGTAATATCCGCTAACTCCAGAAAGAGGCTGAAGTAGTACCTCCTGCAAGACATAAGATAATATCAAGAAGACATAAAAGTAATTGATAACCCCCATTATCAGCACTAACAACCATGCACTTACCCCAATTATCCGCAGTACTCACAACTATGAAGAAAGAGAAATTTGAAGAATGAGCTTAAATACAGCCAAAGAAATGGTATCAGGAACATTAAAGCGTTAGATGCAGCTTCAAAGTGAATTTCCTATCCTAGGTTCAGAGATCTTTAATTCGGATATCTCAGAAATTGAACTGCTAAAAGTGCTTCCTACCAGGTGATGCAAGACGGAACCTCCAATGAGGAATCAAATTTCATGGGCTAGGGCTTGATCATGACCATAGTCTTCACTGAAGTCATATAATATACAATAGTCAACTATCTGCTGACTTCAGCTTTGGTGGCCCAAGCACTTTTTTTTTTGAATGACCCAAGGACTGGTTCAAACATAAATATATTTGCATGCCAGTGTGCAATACAAATTCTATTGTATCGTTTGCTGAACCACGGTTCAACAAAAGCCCTTTTTTATTGATGAACTTGTTATTAGCATTTGAGAGCAGAGTGTGTTTTTAAGTAGTTCATTGAATAAGTGACTAATGCATCTGTAATGATGACTTTTCAATGACATGCCCCTTCTTTATGAAAAAAAAGAGCCCATATTTTACCCTTTTTTTCTTTCCTACCATTGTCTAAACATTAACTTTCCCTTTTGGTTATTCCCTTCAAGGATGTCCAAAAACAATGCACATCTATCCAATGTTCAAATCAGTAGTATGTGGTTATGCATGTAAGTATATAACATATGCAGAGAAAAAAGAAATAACATACCACCCAGTCAAAGCCCTTAATTCCTTAGTCCGCTTAACAGTTATGGAGATGTAGTTTATCAAAACATAACGAAATGGAGATGACACAGACCCAGACTTCCTCATGGTAAGCTTCTTCCACCAACTTAATTTTTCAGCCTCGGTTTTGCTTGGTTCCTCAATGAGTTGGCTCTCAAGCGTGCATAGGTCAAACCTATCCTCATACATTGATATAACTAACTCTATGTTCTGATGCAGCCATCGGTTCAAAGCCACCTATTAACAAAACCACAATTTCATATTGGTGAAACTTGAGAATTTTTTTCCCAATTTCTACATTCCAATATCTCACAGCAATAAAATCCATAAATGAGCAGCAGCATGAGATAAACTTACAATTCTTATTTCCTAGACCATGACAGTTATATTAAAAAGAATGCAGAATGCCAACACCACACTCTTGCACTGATGTGAAAGAAACATATATCTATTTGAAGGATGTGAAAGAAGCATATGTGATCTTCTTCTTTACAGTAACCAAAAGGTCTAGTAAAAATTTTTTATAGATTGCTCTAATTTTCATATGAGAAATATTATAAGTACCAGACAACAATGGTTGCGTTTGGTAGAGTTTTCTAAGGCCAAGTTTGGGAAGACTAAATAAGTGCACTTTTTGACTTTTTATGAAATATGGGTTGGATTTGGGTTGGGTTTGAAGTGATGTGTTAAAAAGGTGATGTGACTTAAATAAGATGAGGTGACTTAAATAGGATAGTGACTTTTTGGATTTTTTTGAGGATGCCAAACTTGGCCTAAATATGATTTGAGAGTAGGAGTTGTATTTTGAATTTGTAAGTTTTGGAATTATGATTTGAGTGTGGAAAATTTGTTTGGTGAAAGAGTTTTGAAAAAAGTTTTGAATTGAGTGGGGAATTTTTGATGTGAAATATGATATTTGATACAAAAATTTACAACTCATAACCAAACACAAAACTCAAAATTTTATTAAAGCTCATAAAAAAAATTTAAAAATTCGAAAAATATTTTTTTCGAATATATAAAAATTAACACATGTCAATTGCAAAAAATATATATATATATATTTGCACTGTTCCGGTCAACCGGCCGGACGACCGGTGGGACGACCGGTTAGCCCAAATTTTCCTGCATTCAACTAAGTTTTCAAAAGTGAGTGTGGAATTATGATTTGAAACTTCTAACCAAACATCATGTGCAAAATAAGCTCTGGAACGTTAATTCCAAAGCTGTACCAAAAAGAGCTAATATCTTTATGCTTCTCTAGTTGACCAATTATAATTCTCAAAGCTCATCTGTTGATAGTTCAACATGGCTCATTGACCTCTTTATTTCACTTCCCATGTGTATTCATGCAATAAAAACCATGTGTATATGTAGGACCCACTATATTTACAAGAATAGTAGGACCTATGAAGCATGGGTGCGGGTACCAGTACTAGTATGATACAGGTACGTCGATACAGTAAAATCCAAAAAAAGTAGGGTTCGGATACGTCTTAATACGTTTGTAAAAAAATATTTATTTTTAATATGAGTAATGCAAAAATTGATTAAATGGTTTAATTTGTTAAGATCCAATCTACAATTAACATTTAATGCCGAAAGTAAAGGTATAAACCAAAATTAAATATTATTATATTAAGTAACTTACAAACGATAAGTTAATTTTAAAATCATGCTAGGTATAAAACTAAAAATAAAAAAGAAATCTAGTAAAAGAAATTTTATCTCTATAGTAGAAGAAACTATTATTTCGACTGAAGTACGGTCCGGCTTGGATATGTACTAGGTACGTCTAAGTATGCCAAAAATTAAGAAGAAAAAATTTAGATACATGCTTCGTGTACCCGGTACGTATGCAGGAGTACCATACGAAGTATCATACGCTGGTAAGTACTCAGTACGGGTACGGCATGTTTTTCGAAGTACTCATACTTCATAGAGCAGGACTTACCACTCCAGTTGGAAAACTACATAGGAGGTGAAAAGTCAAGTGAAATAAACAAGCGATATACAGCAGCCCCCTTAATCATTAGTTTCTCATGTATCAACAATCATATACTTTTAGGAAAAAACTATCATGAGGTTGACCTCATATCCATGAGCAAACTTATTTTTAGGCTTGACCTTACACGCAAGTCTAAGACACACACCTTACCATCAAATTAACCACTATATGATCATCCTACAGTTGAATTCCACCTTCAAAATCAATCAGATCAGATCATACAGGATGTTCAAAAATTAACACTCTCTTTCATTTGACCCAATTGGTTCCTATTTGATTGAGGCCATTCGATTGGTGCGTGTAGGCCTATTTCTTGGTATTTTCTTGTGATTTTTTTATCGGTGGAACAATTAGGGGAAAATGATGGAATGACACATGTATAAAGTTTTTTTGGCCAATGTGGCCAATTTAAAGGCAAGCCCATGGGAGGCACCATGAAATCAACATCATGCTAAACTTACTCTACTATCAAAAATATGATATTAGTAACAATATGCTCTTAAGGTTGCTATGAGAATCAGCTATCTAGACTTGGGGATCCACTAAGTAAAGCCCAAATTTAAAATTTTCAGCAGAGTTTACTAGATAAAAACTTGCGAGAAATCACATTAAATCAAGGTAATAAATCTATCTCTGCAAATTAACATGTTCCTAAGAACATGACACGTCCAAACACCCCTAAACCATTTATAAGATCCGGGGGGAAAATGTGTTTCAGCATGTAAGGATGACCTAAGCATTCAACAATATCGTGAGAGCCTAAGTATGGTTCATATAATTAACTAAGTTACTAACAAGTTCAAAACAGAAAATTTCAGGGCACAAAATTTACTTAAAATGTGCCAAAACAAGGTTTACAGAGGGAATAAAGCTAGCATAGCTACTAGGTGATTCCTATGCATGTTTCCATGGTTCTAATCATGCAAACAGGCATAAACGAGGCAAAAGATAAAAGTTCCAGCAAACATATGATATTGAAAAGCTTTAAAGAACAAGTCAAAATCACATTAGTATGAAAGGATTCGTGGTTTAAACCATAATACATATGATGCTAGAACATGTTTGGACTAAGCCAATTAAAATAGATCAAGATAAAGATCTAAACCATGCTTTCTATTATGAATTGTGATGTGAACCACATTTCTCAAGAGAGAGTCCAGATAACCAATTATTTCAACAAAATGACATGTCATAACAATCAACAATCATAACACTAAGCATACTGCAGGAAAACAATTGTACCTCATTGCGTAATTTCTGAAGTTCTCGGGTCGACAAAGCGCACAGCATCAAACCAAGGTAATTTATTTCATTTGACATGTTACCGTCAACAGAAATAAGCTCCAAATACACGCTTGCAATCCCATCTGCTAATGTAATCACCAAATCCTCTAATATGGCAACCCCATGCTGGGTAAACAAGCTACAACTGTAATAGCAACCCTCCCTGCTAGAACACAGAAGGTGTCACAAGGTGTAACCTCAAAATATAGAATACAAAAGGACTTTAGAATTACATATCACCAGAAAACAAAAAAGAAAACAGATACATCTTCCACCACAAATTCGTAAAAACAGAGGTTGGAAGTAGAATGATCCTTCTAAATATGGGAGCCATGCTACGAAAACAAAAAGCTTATGTCACAGTTGATTATCACTCCAAAACTACATGAGGCGGAGTTAATCAAAGAGTTTGTGTTTAATTAAAGTTCTATTCCACACACATAGGTTGGATTCAGGCATTATTTTTTCAGTTTTACAACCGATCTGCCACAAGATGCCTTCCTTCCATTATTCCATATCTCAAAACCCTTAGCAGGATACGTTAGCTCAATCAACAGAAAATTCTCACATGCACTCATGGAGCATACAGGAACAAACAGAAAGGTTAACTTAAAAAAGCTCAAACAGCCTAAAAAATGTACAAAATAATATAATGAACCAAAAACTTCCTGATTTTCAAACTGGAACATATCACTTTTTAGTCTATTTACTAGTAACCCTTAAAAAGTACACATGTTCATGTCCTTTCAAAATGCACCACATAAGGCAAAGAGGTGTTGCCACTGATATCTGCCTAGATCTGTTACTTGTGCGACTTTTGTGCAAGCATCTGATTAATTCAAAAACCTGACCAAAGCATACCCAGTAAACTCCAAAAGTTAGAAACCCTTCTTGCACGTACAAAACCAATTTGAGAAACATGTTTCCTCTAATCTAAACCATTCATAGTCAAATAAAAATTGTCTCAAATGCTGCTGATCAAATAAAGAAAAAACATAGTAAGACAGAGTGACCCATGAGAATGCTCATTCAATGCAAACATTGTCCACACTTTCCAATGATGGCAGTATTATTTCGCTCCAAATCTGCTACATCTATCACTGTTCTAACTCAAACCAACAGAAGCACCTTATAACAAAGCAACAAAGTCCTCCAGCTCTTAGTCCTATGAAGTTCTAATAAACCAAGGCTCCCACACTGTGATAACCCAACCCGTATTACATTTAATTATGCATGGGATTATGTGTTTGATATGAATTTGCAAGTTTAAGTGTGTGAATTTTGTGATTTTGGAACTTAATCTGTTGAATGTAGAAATATCAGTTACAAATACCTCTTTGAGCGAAAATTGATATCGTTAGAGGCACGATAAACCAAAACCGACTTCATATCTATGATTAGCATGATTTTTAGAGCCTTTGGTGAGATTTTGAAAAATTATGATTTGCAATAAATAAATTAAGATTTTTTTTGAGTTAAGTGTATATGTTTAGCCTCTTGTTCTTCATTTTGTGGGAAGAGAGCTCAAAGTGTGAGTTAGAGAGAGAGGAAGAGGAGAAAGCTAGAGATTTGAAGGGAATCAAGGGGCAAACCATAGATTTGAGTTAAGGTATAGAAATTTACTTACAAACTTTGTTTCTAACTCATCTTTGTCTTGAAATCATGAAGAAATTAGAAATTTTGAGCTAGGGTTTGAGTTGTGTGGTGGCTTGAACTAAAGGCATGAAATTGAACCCTAATCTCGCCATCTTTGTTTGATTTAAGTTCACTTTTGTGATTGATCCATGAAACAAACCCTAGATAATTCATGAAAACAAGGTTTGTTGAAAGATTGCTCGTGGATCATGTATTTTGAATTTGTTTATGTAATGTATGAATATGGGAAAGAGATGAGTCCATGAATTTGTTGTTGATGCAAGGTTGATATGTTTAATGTGGAATTACACTTGTATCATACTTATATACTATGTTTTTTAGTTGTTTTCAAATGAATTTGAGCTTGGAAATGAGTTTAGAAAGTTTGCATATCTGAACCATTTTCGGACTGTCTGATTTTGCCTAGACCGCACGAGCGGCCACGGGCACCGCACGAGCGGAACATAAAGAAAAAAAAAGTTTTGGTTCTGCTCCTTGGGCGCTCAAGCAGCCGGTTTTTCCGCTCGAACAAATTGGGGCCGCACGAGCGGTGAAGACTTCCGCTCGTGCGGAACCCCTGTTTCAGCCTAACTTCAAAAAGCCATATCTCCTTCATCCAGACTCCGTTTTAAGCGATTCTTGAACCTAAATTCAAGCCCTCGAAGTCTAATTTCTAATGGTAGTGGTCTCATATCCAAATTCTTAGTACACAAATAGATATGTTCAAATTAGCAGAGGTTGTTCACTTTCTTTCTAACTGTTTCATGCTATTTCCTCTCCTAACCCAATTTTCTCATTTCTTCCTATTTTCCTAGACACGGATTATGACCCAATGAGGACTAATGAGTTTAGAACCAACAAAAATAATTAGTTAAGAAGCAAAGTAAGGGATTAATTTATTTGGTTAAGAAAAGATTAAGAGAAGCAAATTTAATCAAGAGAGTAATTCTATGTTCTGATATGTTGTGCCATGCGCATTGTGTTTGCAGGTCATGATTCAAGGACCGGTCAACCATTTCTGGAAACCACTGTGAGTAATAGTATAGTAAAAATATGTTTTTTATTATATATTTCGATTTATGTACGACATGATCTTCTTAATATCGTATTTTGTCAAAACGCACAAGTTTCTACGAAATATGAAATGAGTTATGAATAAGGAATGTGAATTGTTTGTAATATGATATGGTAGGCCCAAGCAAGGTTGTTAAAATCGAGATCCTAAGTAGGATCGGTGAGAGGGTCTGGTGGATCGGATCATAGGATCGGATCGAGGATCGTAAGATCCTACTTTCTATTTAAAAAAAAAGATAAAAATTAAAATTAAAATGATACATATTAAAAATAAAGTGAAAAATTATAAAATCTACGATCCTACTTGCGATCCTACCTACGATCCCATACGATCCTACACGATCCCATGCGATCCTACACGATCCTACTTGCAATCCTGTTATAACATCGATCCTACAACGATCTGGATCTACGATCCGGATCGCGATTTTAACAACCATGGGCCCAAGGCCGTTCCGTTTATGCTATGACATGATATAAATTGTTCAGTCTTTAGGACCTATTGATTTATGGTATGGAACAAAGTACTGTACGGAACTAAGTGCTACAATGAGAGTCACCTTTAGAGTCCGTAGGAGTCACCTCTTGGGCCCATGCATTGATAAATGAATGGGTCTGAGGCCGCTTGATAAATAATTGGTCCCGAGGCCGCTTGATATGTGATTGGGCCTGAAGCCGCTTGTTAAATAATTAGGCCCGAGGCCACTTGATAAATGATTGGGCCTGAGGCCGCTTGTTATATGATTGGGCCCGAGGCCGTTGGTTATGATTGGGCCTGAGGCCGCTTGACATATGATTGGGCCTGAAGCCGCTTGTTATATGCTTGGACCTAAGGCTGCTTGGTTTATATGATTATGGAAATTGAAAGAACCTTATAATCATCTACTTACACTGTTTTACTGTATTATTACTCATTGAGTTTCGCTCACCCAATTTTATGTATGCACATGTAGGTAATCAGCAGCATGGAGCACACCCTTAGAGTCAGCTTCAGGAGCCTTTTGTGACCCAACCGAGTCATGCCTCTGAGACAGAGTTTTGTCTTGGCTCACACCACACTTCGACCCTATTATGTTTTTGCTTTCATGGTCTTGGGTTGTAAACATTATGTATGATTTTTCTCTGGCTCTTATATTTTTGATGGGCATGTATATGTATTATTGTGTTACGTGGTTAACTCAATGATTTTGTTCGTGATTGGCACAGCTCAATAGACTTCTCCTTATTATATGCTTCCATTATAGCCCCATTAACATAAATATTTTGTATGTTCGTTTTAGGCCTTCGGTGATCCACGGATTACTGGCCAGTTATGACCCAAACTTTTAGGGGCGGGTTCGGGTATGACACACACAAATCAAGTTATAGGAGTTCATGGAGGCTCCCACACAAACCTCTAGCTCGGTAGTATTATAGGAGTTAGTGCCTACAAAAAATTTAAAGCCAATTTAATGAAAGGCTTCAAAAAGATTTCCCTTTTTTTTCATGCATATACACATAAGCAAAGAAAAGAGGGGGGGAAAAAAAAATCAATTGTTTGTCTTTCCTTTAATGCAAGGAAACATCATACAGTCCTACTTGTTAATATTAGCAAGAATAAGCTGTTGTCTCTACCTCCTGAAGCTCCTATGACTGAGCTCTATTTCCAATTACTTTTTCATTGTGTGTGCATGCATACAACCTTGCTAACGGGTGCCCTAATTTTTTGTGCCTAATGCTTAAAGACAGTACCCCATAAACACTTACAAACAGTTTTGTTCATAAATAGGTAGAGCATAGACGAATAGTTACTATCACAATTGTCTTTCAATTATTATTATTTTTTTTTTTAATACGACATACGCGAACCACTAGTACAAGACATTTTCATCCTCCAACAAGAAATATCAATTGCTCACTGACCACTGGATTGTGGGGAAAGGATATTCCAAAATTGGTGAAAATTTTGTTAATTGAAACATCCAACTCAATTTAATTAGGTCCACGAATCTACAAAATTCTGAGAATTCTTGATCTCCCATAATAAACAAAAACAACAAAGAAAAGTGGGAATCAATAACTAAATTCAGTGAGAACCATAACTAAATTTACCTGAGAGAACCAAATATTAGAAATTGCGTTAATTCAGTATAAAGATCCTCCTTGCCCAAACTTCTGATGTTTTGTAAAATAGTGCCATCTCCCATTAACTTCTCAATCGTTAACGAAAGAAGTTCCTGATTTAAAAATAACAATAATGATAATCAATCTGAATATGTGACTTGATGCAATATCTACAATAGAACAAGCTAGTTTTTTTAAGGTACCTTATAAGGTTTACTGCTTTTTGAGCAAAGCTCATTTTCTAGCCAAGTCATACATACAGGCTGACAAGACTTCTGGATAACATCAGAGAGAACTGTAGACCAATCATTCATGATTACAGTAGCAGACCTTCCTGAGATATTATCCACCTGTAATACCATATTTGACGCCTTGTTATTGAATGGGGAAAAAAAAAACAAAAGACTCAAAGAAGTCCAAAGATTTATTTGCCAAGATGTTATACAACCTGTTAATTGATTATTTCATAATGGACAACACTAACTATGTGCTGAATAAAAGTTACTTAAACATAAATACCACCATATCACCTATAATTTTGCATAAATTACAAAACACCTGAAGACTGCTTAAAGCTAGGGCAGCAAAATAAACAGGGAAAATAAAAGATATGCCCTTTCCGCAAAGTATACTTGCATTTCCAAAAAAAAAAAGTATCTTCTAAGCACACGCAAAATGTGGCTTCAATACAAAAAAGATTTTTTTTTCCAAAATTGCTCAATAATGATATTTTTTATGAGATTTCTCAAGCCAAAGATCATCCAGTCAAGCAAAAAGTTCACTTTCTTATAATAACAGTACACAATGTAATTGTACTTTGAGGAGACAACAGAGACAGTGCCTGCCTCTTTCTTCAGCCACTGAAAAGAAATCCAGAGCAAGCGAAGCCTAGGACCCTCAGCAACAGCAGACAAACTTAAAGGCCGCTTTGCTTGGTCTTGTTCAAATTTGATAAATCTGCTTCCCAAATTACCCTCATGCTCAATAGCATTTAGAGCATCCATAAGTTTCTCTTCCACTATATCCCAGGGAAGCTTGAAGTTGGCTTCCTCATCATTCTCAGCAGCTCTGCAAAACGGTATCTCAACTAACCAATAAACACAACTCTAACACAAATTGAATCAACAACATCATCAGCCAAACTAAGATATTTATCTCGACTAGATTGATCTTTCACCTATTAACCTGTGATATGCTTACGCTTACCTACCAGAAAACGTAGAGTCTCCAGCAAGTGCATAGTCAGTCGAAATGCCATTTTGGGAGCTTACAAGCGACTTCTTAGTCGGTATTACTCCAGCCATATAGGTGAGGAATATACTGGCCATTAAAAGCACTTGATTGACAACAGGAACCCATTCAGAAGTTGTGGCACCATCAGTATTCATTAAAGTTCCCAAGCAATGACACCTCATAGAACTATGCTCGGGGTAAGGATTTATTTTCGGATTTGCGATGCAGAGAGCACTGAACTTGCAAGCATTCCATGATGAGAGCTGTGCAACTCTCGAACTTCGAAAGGGATGCCTCCTAAACCAAAAAAAAAAATACGAGGGTTATAGTATAAATTAACATGCCTTGGATTCTGAAGCACGAAGGTGATATGTTTTTGACTCTGCCTTAAAAGATACTTCTCACTAATGCCAGTGACGAACACCCACTACCAGTAAGTGTTTTATTACCAAATAAAGAGGATATACAATATAGTTCAAGTGTTCAACACATGCCCGAATGCCACACCCCTCGAGAGGGGGAGAAAACGTGCCAAGCTACATAAAAATAAATAAATAAACATATCCAAGCCTCGGGCCAACAGAAGAAAAACACACACACAGAGAAACGTGTAGTCTATAAAAAATAACTTCTCTGAAAAAACTGATAGACTTGGTACTCACAAATGACGGCAGCACGTTCACACTGAAGGAAAAATTTAAGCTAGATTTCAAGGGTGAAAATAATGGTTTTTAAGTTCTGGTTGGAGATTAATTGAGTGCAAAACCGAAGGAAATATAAATCAGATCTAAGGTCCCTAGGCTTCACTCTGGCAAGAGCTAAGCATCATGCCATTATCACACAAAACAATAACTCAAATTCTGAAAACCATTAAATTGGAAGTTTACATAGATATAAGCAAGCTTCTGGATTTTCCTGCTAATATATACAAATGAAGATACTCTAGTACTTCGATGATGCTTCTGGACCACTACTACACCGCATTACCAAACAAATATATGAACCATAAAAATACCCTTGACTCCTAAAACATATTTCAAACAATAATATATATATATATATATGGGGCTAGTGGGATGCTGAATTATAATAATATAAATAACAACTCAAATAGGCATAGTGGACATGTTATTTTGGACAAAAATGCTTCTTCGAATTTGCCAGGTTATCGGGCCCACAAATTTTGTTTTCATCTTCTAGAGCCAATTAACTTTCCTTCAGGTACATCAAAGCCTATCTCCCCTCCTTGATACAATGATAAAAGTTGGGACTGCCAGGCATGAGAATGCAGGTCAAGTTTTGGGCAGCCATTTCAAGCAAATAAACCAAACAGCAATGATAGAGACCACTAAAAAATTCCATCACTAATAGCTCTAATGAGTTGAAAAATGTAAAAAATAAAAGAAAAAAGAAAAACACAAGAGACAACCATCACATCAAAGGGAGAGCCACCTCATTAGTGCTCCCCTAGTGTTCCCTTTTTAGTGCTCCCAAGCATTAATCATAAACCAAATGTTAGTTTATATGTAGTCAATCCACCATTCCAGAAGCACAAAGCAGTAATAATAATGGGTGACGGCCTCCTTTAATTTTTTAGAATAATTGCAAACAATCTACCTGCTCCAACCTCAAAACATCTGTGTATTCTATGAAAAGATGTGTTTACAAAGAACAATAAGCATAATCAAGATTCACAATTCATGTGGACTACCTAGTGTTTAAATCAAGCAAATATAATTACATATCTAAAGACATTGAACTGATCAACCAATAAAAACAAAACCTTTGTATTTTAATACATAATGATGATGAACTGTGGGGCAAAAAGCATCCATTTGAAACACAATATCCGTGCCCATGCAGCTTGATATGTGATGATAGTATAGCTGCATAAGCTGCCATTTACAAAATTTCCAGCCTGTTGATCAACACATTCTAGTGCCACCATGCCAAAATGCCTAACCCTGCAACCAAATATATCAAACAACAATTTTGGGTATAAGTAAGTACCTATGTGTCAAGTTTTGATTTGATAGAAAGTTTGATAAATGAAATGGGTCTTCCTGATTTAAGTAAAACTCAATTTGGTGTAGGTTTTAATAGAGGACTGAAGGGGACTGGAGTGAATTTTTACTCAAATTTAAGTTTGAGTCAAGATTTATATGCATAAACATGTGTTTGTAGGTGTGATGAAGGAGATTGAAGCTGAGAAGAAACAATTACGGAGTCAACTTACCATGACAATGTATGTAGGCCGAGGAAGACGGAAATCACTGGAGGCTGTGCGGAGAAAAACAGAAAGCTGCGAGACAGTTAGGGTTAGGGTTTTGAGAAGTCGTGATGAAGAACAAATAAACAATAAATAAATAAAATCAAATATCGTTGTGTTGGCGGCGGCCGCGGCGGCTATGAGGATTGGGAATGTGCGATCCTGGTTTTTTACGTCAATATTTGTTTGCCTCTCTTCGCTCTCTCCTCTCCCGACATTCTCCCCTCGACATACCAACATAACATAACCCCGCCAATAAAGGGTCCAAATTTGTTCGTTTTGATCCCTTTTTTTTTTCTTTTTTTTCTTTTTTTTTTTTTTTTGAAAAATTACAAACCAACCACATGTTATTGAAAAAAGCGTTTGAATTTTTTTAAAAAAATTACATCAGCTTGTTTGATTGTATTTTTCTAAAAACACTTTTCAGAAAATTCTATTTTCGTATTTTTTGTATTTTTTATTTTTACTAAATTTTTTAATATTTTAAGTAATTTTTTTTTTACTTTTTAGGCATACCTAACATAAATATACCTAAACAGTAAAAAAATTGTAAAAAAACCTTTTAAAAATTCACTAAATACTAAAAATATAAAAAAAAAATACGAGAATTCAATATATTTTTTATATTTTTATGTATTTATTAAATTTTTAAAATATTTTTTCACAATTTTTTTACTTTTTAGATACATCTAAGCAAAATACATCTAAAAAAAGTAAAAAAAAAATTAAAAATTTTAAAAATATTCACTAAAAATAAAAAAAACACTAAAACCAAAAAAATGAGTTTTCAAAAAACTTAATCTAAAAAACTCAAACGAAACACACTGATTAGATCCTTATTTTTATTTTATTTTTTAACAAACTTCATTTTACTCTTATGGTTTGGCCCATATAGAGTGTCCCTCATAATTTTTGAAAATAATCATATCATTTTCTTATGATTTGTGGACTAAAATACACAGTTAAACCCATTAACGATTTAATGAAAAATATTTTAAAAATTCTTGTATTTTATCATTTATTTGGACAGCAAAATACACGTTAACTTCTAACCCTCTCATATCTGTCACTTATTTCATACTTATTGTTAAATTTGATAAAATGTTTAAAAGTGTATTTCAATTCACAAATCACGTGGAGATTATGTGATTATTTCTAAATGTTAAAAGGATAAACCGCGCATTCCTTAAACTATAAAGTTTGTTATCCCAGATAGGCAACCCAAGAGGGGGGTTAATTGGGTTATTAAAAATTTCACAAAATTAAAATTAACATAATATTCATAATTTTAATAAATAAAAACAGAATAATAATTATCAATATAAAAGTAAAAGAGATAGGGAGAGAAAATCAAACACTGCGATTTATAGTAGTTCGACACGCTAGGCCTACGTCCACTCTCCAAGAAACCTCATTGAGAATTTCTTTACTATCAATTGAATAAATACGCCACCAAGCTTGTGGATTTGGCGCAAAACTTACTCTTATCTATTGAGCCTCACTCAACAATAAATGTCTTATCCTTACAAAATCTCTCACAAAAATAAGGAATAAGAATAAGTGGTACTTAAACCCTCTTTTACAATAATTCTCTCACAAATAGTAGATATGAAAGTGTAAGAACAAAGGCTAGACTTAGATCTGAAAGTGAAAGAGCAGAATACAATGTACTCAGAATTTTGGAGCTTAAGAAAATTTTCTCTTCAAGTTCTTGATTTTTCTTCACACACAACGCTTCTATTTATACACAAAAATATACCCGTTTGACGCTCCTTGCTGACGTCATGGCTTACATAAGCACGCTCCTGATGTCATGGCTTACATAAGCACACTCCTTGATTTTAAATAGTCAGCAAATGTTAATAATTAAAAAGATAAAAGTAAGACTGATTTTTTCTTTTTCCTTTTTTGTCTTTTTTTAAACATAGAGCCACCGTTTTTGTAAACAATTTAATACAAAGTTCACAACTTTCAAACAAATAAATGATTTGCTCCATCTTGTTTATTATATATATATATATATATATATAACTCCATCTTTTTCTTCTTGTTTGATTAAAATATGATATAATCAATGTAGTGTTGTGTGATATGATATAATCAATGTAGTGTAAAAAGTTTAATAGCACACGTGATATATTCTATTTATATTTTATGCATTATATATATAATGTTCTAATCAAATGTTTGCATACAGAAAAATCTCTTTAATAATATTTATGATGTATCTGAAAATATATATCCTCTTTATAGAGATTTTAAACTAAATATATCCTATCACTGCATTTGGGTATGTCACTTTTGTCAAAAGAATACAACTCATTAATATCACATTTGTCAAGATAATACAGCCAATCAATCATTTTTGTCAAAATAATATAATTAATCAATTTTTTAATTTTGTCAAAAAGTGAATAGTGATCAGCCTAAATTTTCAAAAAGTGAATAATAAAGTTTTCAAAAATAATTTTATTTAACTAATATTTAACAAATATATATATTTTAAAAAGATAATATTTTGTGTCAAATAAATATGTATATTAAAAAAATTCAAATTGTTACAAATAATATTTTAGACATCATCAAAATAAAATAATATGATTAACAATCTCCCCCTTTTGATGATGGCAATATTTGTATGGATTTGACACAAAATAAAATTGATAAAATATTTGATAACCCTGCAACATATAATTTTCAAGAGCAAAAATCTTATTTTTTCTCCCCCTTTGACATCATCAAAATAAAGATTAAGATAAGAAACAAACACATTTGACAAAATAATCTGAGCGGCCAAGAATAAAATAATGGGTCGTCTGTCTTGTCAGAATCATTGTGGGGATTTTGGAGCATCTCGAGCGCATAAAATATTGACAAACAAAAGATTTGAACAGATATGCATCGAGTAATAAATCGATGGAGTGTATAAAAAGTGACACAGATCATAGGCAAAGAGACGAAATCTTCAAGTGTTGGAGAGAAAAATTTGTTTTAGCTTCTTTTGTAATCATGTCATTCCTTACCTTATCTATCAATGAGTAGGACCTGCATGAGGTGCCTGTAATGCAGACAAATGCGAGAGTACCAGTGGTATAGGCACACGATATGCCTGTAAATGAAGGTTCTAGTGTTATTGGTAATCGAAATGATATCGATACTATTAATAACACTATGACTCTTAATACACAGGCCATGACTGTAGTTTTTAATATGGCGCGACGATTATAAGCAAGAGTATAAGAAAATCAGCAATGGATAGATGAGATGTGCTTGTTAAAACAACAACTGGTTATTATGTGTAAGGAGAAGAAAGAGCTAAAAAGGAAAAATGCACAGTTGGAGAATGCAGTGCATTATTATGCAACGGTGATAATGCCAAGGCTCATAGAAATCAAAAATAGAGAAAAGCATGTAAAAGAGGCTCATGAAAAATTGTTGAGAGAAGTGAAAAAGAAAAAATCTGTGAAGCCTTCTGAAAATTTACATGTAATCGAGTAATATTTCCCTTTTCTGAAATAAAATTTCGAGCGTTTCTTCCTTTTTATTTATTTATTTATTTAAATTCTATATTTGCACAAAAAAATTTGTTTGTTGGTGCAGATAAGGAGTATGGCAGATAAAGAGAAAAAAATATGTATAGATACTCCTCTTAAAATTATGCACAGAATATACACAAGTTTTTTTTTTTTTTTGGTTTATATATTTTTATAATGATTGTTAATCTCAAAATATATGAGTCTCCCCTGAATTAATGCACTAAAAATTACATAAATTTGAAGAAACAAATTACCAATCTATAATACCAAAGGTCATTAAGATCCGACCATAAACAACTATACCAAGTGCACTAGCATAAAAGGAGAAAATAAAAATAAAAACAATTTCTTCAGACAAGGTAGAAATAACCGTTATTAAATCCAAGAGAATTTGGAGCACATACAACAAGTAAAAAAATATAACACAATACAACAAGAATTTTAACATGTTGAACGGTGATGACCTTGATGATCGGAAGAAATAGAGAAGATTGGGTAGAAAGATTGGGTAGATTGGTGATGAATTTGTGTAGATTGGCAATGGATCTTGATGGATTAGTCACGGATCTGGATGGATCGGTGATGGAACTTGATGAATCGGTAAAGATGGTGATGCAAATTTCGGGTAGAGAAGTGATGGAGTTTAGAAGATTGGTGAGGGATTTGGGTGGATGGTGACAGTGATGAAAGTGATGGATGATTTTGTGAATAGTGGATGGTGGAGTTGGTTGTAGGCCATGGTGATGGTGGAGATGGAGTCGGCTGAGGGTATGAGGAAGAAAGAGAGCAAGTGAGAGATAGAGACGGAGCGGTGAGAGAGAGAAAATATATGTATATAATTTTATTATTATTATTTTTTTATTTTTATTATTATTTATAATTATTATTAGAAATATTTTATTTAATTATTTATTATTATTATTATTTATTATTTTTTAATATAAACATTATATTGGAGGATTCGTCATACCAAGTTCAGTTCTAATATAACAAAATTGTTATTCATTTAGAGCCTTTGTAAAAATGTCAGCTAATTGACGATTTGTAGGCACAAATTCGAGTTCAATGTCACATTTGAGTACATGATCTCTTAGAAAATTATACTTTATTTCAATGTGTTTAGTGCGTAAGTGTTGAATAGGATCTTTTGAAAGGTTAATGGCACTTGTGTTGTCACATTTTATAGGAATATGATCATAGTGAAATCAAAAATCTTGAAGTTGTTGTTTCATCCAAAGCAATTGTGCACAACACCCAGCCGCGGTAATGTATTCTGCTTCAGCAGTTGACATAGCCACTGAGTTTTATTTTTTGCAAAACCAAGAAGTGAGTGAGTGTCCAAGAAAATGACAAGTGCCACTAGTGTTTTTTCGGTCAAGTCTACATCCCGCAAAGTCGGCATCTGAGTAACCAAAAAGTTCAAAGGTGGTTCCCTTAGGATACCATAATCCCAAATTTGGAGTGCCAACAAGATATCTGAAAATGCGTTTGACTGTGGTGATGTGTGACTCTTTCGGTACAGATTGAAAATGTGCACACATACAAACACTAAACATTATGTCGGACCTACTTGCAGTAAGATAGAGTAAAGAACCAATCATACCTCGATATTTCTTTTCATCTACAGGTTTACCTTGCTCATCTTTGTCGATTTTTATCGATGTGCTCATTGGAGTTGCTGCA